CTACGGTGTCACATTGCTTCCACCACCAACCATGCAGGATACCTGCCGTAGGTTATCCCCTACTATGTGGCCTTGCATCACACTTGAGCCGTGGCATGGTGTGGTACCGCACTACAACACTTGTGGAGAATCGCTGGACGCAAACAAGCACAAATGTGTTGTGCATGGGGCCCGGTATTTGAAATACACTTCATAGACTCCCCTTCTCCAGCCTAGCCACAAAACTCCTTTTTGCGTGTATGTTAGCCAGTCCCATCTCAACTCGTCCCTTCTTGTCACCTCCACTCTTTTCTTCACTGCTTAGCTCTAGTCTGTTCCCTAAGGCACATCATGACTTCAGTTTAACTAGGCACATAATTGGACATATATTTTCTTGGAGTGAGATTTCCTGATGCCCATTCTGCGACTTCCACTGCCTTTGTCTCGATAGCCAGACATGTTTCTTTGATGCATGCACCGGTGGCTAAGATCGCGCGTGCTCGCTTGCCCTCTCCAATGTGGCGACATGATGTTAATCTGGAATATTTTGCGCTTGTACATCGAGCAGTCATTTTGCGCACTGAATACTCTGATTAATGACTGCGATTGTTATAGGGCTCCAAAATCATCATGGTTAATATCACCGTTGACAGATGCAGTGTTGTTGAATGTTCCATTACCAATAACACTACCTCATCGTTGCTAAAACAAGAAATCACAGCTCTGCCCTTTGTTCCATTGGGGAGCTGAACTTTTTGGCTACCGTCAATTAAGCCACCAGACCTTCTACTAATAACGGGTTCAAGTAGCACATTCAAACCAACCATCATCCGTCCACCTGTTAGTTTTTGCGTCATCTCCAGTCTTGCGTCAATAGTACTCTAAATGTCTCGTTCAATGCGCAAACCAGGTTCTTGAACCTAAAACTGCCTACAGAAAGCACAATGTTCCAGAAGAATAGAGTAGGTGAAAATAGGTATATTCACGGCATAGAGACCACGGCGTGTGTAGATTGGAGATTTCTGGATCACCCTGCCAACAGCAGTACTTGGCGACTTAGCACAGTTTCGACTAACAAACTGAAGTGGGGTAAAGAGGGTAAGCAACGATTCTACCCATGCCAGTGAAGACAGATAATTAAGCAGTAGGATGAGGGAAGGAGCTTACCTTGACTTGGAAAAAGACCTCGGGAGGGAGGAATTGCTCATAAAAGGAGGGTATTTGCAACGTTCAGCAACATCCTTGGCGGAGAGCCACGTCAACAGGTCGGAGTCATCCTCGGTGACACCCGAGCATGCGCATCAGTACCTATGCGACAATGGCAAAAGAGGGTTAGAACATGCTGGACCTTGTAAGCCTTAATTTCTTTATTTTCCCACATCAAATTTCCATCATTCAATGCAGGTACTGCCTGCCTGTTATAGCTGATTAACAGGGAGGAATCAGGGTATAAAGGACAATGGCAGTAGGGAGCCCAAAGACATAGTTCACAGCAAATGCAATTCTTTGCTCAAAATGATCCAAATTCTTTGAAGATAAAGTGAATAACGAAACTAGCCGGTTCCAGTTCTCGTTTAAATGGCTGGAGAAAGGGTGCAAGGAGGGGTAGATTTTAATAAAGTCCCTTCTCTCTTTAACTTGAGCATGACTCAACCAGAATAACATCAATCACACCTACCAATGCCACCACACTGCACCGTATGTCATCATGTCGTATCCTGTTGTATCAAAACCTTCCACTCCAAAATGTTACCCTAACCTATCATGGCACGGAAGCAAACCGCACTCCATCACACAGCTCGCTACATGGTGAGTTGCACCAGGTGAATGCTAAAGAAATTAGAAGGAAAATAAGGAGGGCAGAAACATGGCCTCAGCCGGGATTCCAACCCGTGACCTCACGCACCCAACCGCGAATCACACCACTGAACTGTGTCCGCGCCAACACCCACCCATCCCCTAATCCTGTTACCTGTCTCTACCACCATTTTCTAATCGTTGTTTATGGTTTAGCGGCCACTGTGCTGTTCCGTGTTAGCTCTTCCAAGTGTTAACATGCGGAGCTGCCTGTAAGCACCAAACTCCACTCTTTACTCAGCTGCCTTTCAATGCACTACTACTACTGGCAATCGGACGAGCTGGCAGATAACAAAAGGGTGAGCAATTATCGCTTAAGTTTGTTCGAGAGTTCCGCGTTTTGCTCGATCGCTGGTGCTGGCGGCTCTGGGTCCTGCGAATCGAGGTCAATCCTAGGTGCAATATGGCGTGTAAGGAGTGACATCAAGGCCTACTGCGATGCCACGCTGGGTCAGCTCAATGGGAATTCCTCATCTGGTATCTTCTGGCATAATATGGCACCTCCTGCCATTCATGCGCCAGTGCGTTTTGATGATGAGGGTGTTGGTGAGTCCATTCGCGGTATAGAGGGACCAGGGACCAGAACCGCAGTGCCAGCGTAGGGCAGTTGTGAGTTTCAGTCTCGCTCTTAATAGGCACATTTACCCTCCCACTTATCAGTAAGCATTGGCAGCCGATGGCTGAGGAGGGGTCCGAACGCCTACAAGCATTGCTAATGTAATCGCGTGATCGCTCACTCACCCCTTACTCCCAATACCGACCAATTCAGTTGGTAAATTGGCTTCAAAAATCCACACATAGCGGAACTCAAACCCACAATCTCCTACTTATGGCGCAGAAGTCATGTACATTAGGTCACTCACTACACCAGTCTCCTCATCGGCAATGCTCTCTTACAGCCACTCTATCCAGTCTGATTACCTCCCATACACACCCACATTCACTTCACCCCTACTTATCCTGTACTCTCTTGACTCCCCATTCTGTCACTCCTTTACGCCCCCACTCAACAGTTCAAATACAGGCAAACAATAACAACACTGTCTTTTGCACCGTTTCCTCTTCTTGATCTTGAGTAATGTTTATTTCCTCCTTGCTCTTTTGTATTTCTTACCTACATTTTCATTTCTATCGTTGACTTCAGGTTTGTTGCAAATGCTCACCATTTTTATTTGCACATCATATCATTATGGTGATGCATTAAATTGTTTAATTCATGCTATGCTGTGCTTTTGTCGATGTACTAATCGTAGGATTTTAAAAATTACACCATAACCAAATAAAACGGGCTTCGAGATTCTGCAAACGTTGACTAGCGCTACACGATTATTCCTAGATTATTAATAAATGGGGGTATCTAAGGAATAGACATGGAAGTTAATGCTCGGCTTTTCCAACACCTCTCCACCTACCCACTTACTTATTTACACCTCCCATCTGTCAGTGATGTATCACTACCGTCAAAGTAGTTACACAGCCCAGACTATTTTGACCACGGCGGATGGGATATTCTGCACCTCCACCGAATCGGACACATCGACGTCTCCACCGTCATCACGCGGCAGAATGTCTCGTCCACCAGACCTAAATGAACTGCTGTGGGCTTCACTGTCGCAGGAGGAATCGAAGTTGTCAACACGGGTTCAATTACGGAAGCATTAATCGTTGAAACATTCATGACCGAATCGCCGGGTGCGTTGGGTGCCAAAATGTAAAACAAAGGCACACAAATTAGGGTTTAATCATTACTTATCTTAAAAAATTGAACTCACTGGAGCTACCGTTGCGCCACGGAGTCACAGCACCCTCCGCCTCCGCCATCATCATTAGCATCGCACACCATTACCATTACCATTGTCACACGTAACCATACCGGCTACACAATCCCTCAGTACAGCATTACACTATTGCAGTGCTTGTGCTCGCCCACCTCAGCACCATCACACCCAGCGCAGCAGCAGCAGCAGCAACAACAACGTGAAAGATGACAATGACATGGAGATACACATGAGTAATAGAGTGAAACTGGCTGAATGCGTTGATGTAAGAGTGGGCGTTGTGCGATGTTGTGAGTGAGGGGTGTGGACTTGGGATGGAAATGGTGAGGCATGGTGGTGTGGGTGGGTGGGTGGGTGAAGAG